AAAATATCCTTGGGTGAGGATTAACAAATAGATAAAATAAAACAAAGGGATGGCAGGAGACATTCTATAAAATAACTTGATAGAGATGTAAAGAATTCGGGATGTGTGGGACAGGGAGGTGGAACATAGCATATACTCAATAATTAATGGATTTTATAGCTTCCAGGACTTTTGACCTAGCCCACTGTTTTTTGGCCTGTTACCAATTTTACTGGAAGATATAAACAGCTCTGGCTTTATCTTCTGCATGCATATTGGCTACCTGCTTTTCTCTTGCTATTTCAGCATAGCTGAATGTCTGTTTTGTCTTCTTGTAGAGGGAAGCTTTGCTGCCAGAGTGTTTTCCCAGATGCAAATAATTACTAATTCCTTTCTTTGCTATTTTTGAAGTCTTGGTGTTTGCCTGTATAGTATTAGCTAAGTGTTTGGGAGTGCAGGAAAATGTTCCCTGTCTGCAGATAAAGGATTATATGGAGCCCCCATCCTCCTTGTCTTGCTTCACATAGGTTGTGATATGTATCTTGCTGGTTATGTATCATTGTAGTTTTCTAGTCTTTTATTACGGAGTGTGTGTTAGCTGCTTTTATCAAGAACATGTGCTATATAAAGCAAAATAGAAATGCAGAGTAGAACTATCAAATGTTAGGGGATCAGTAAGATGGTCATTATAGTCAATCTCTGTTATTAGCGCTAATGAAGCAGAATAATTATATAGGTATAGGTCATGGTTTTCATATCAAGGGAGTATTCAGTTGAAGGAGAGGCTGGTTTCAGATTAAAAATTTGCTACTACTGATGAGGCTGGTAGTATTGATAACTTTATAAAGAGGTTTATGGTTTCAAATGTTTTAACACATGTGTGCTAAATGATAGGGATTCTTTTTATGTTAAGTTTTTAACTTAACATAAATAAAAATGAAAAGTTCAAGTACTCAGAAAAGTATATAACACATCTTTGTGTGTGTGTAGTCACTTTCACAATTAAACAAATATTGTCCTAGCTGGTTTCGCTCAGTGGTTAGAACATCAGCCTGTGGACTGAAGGGTCTTGGGTTCGATTCCAGTCAAGGGCACGTATATTGGTTGCAGGCCCTATCCCCGCATGTGCAGGAGGCAGCCAGTCAATGTATGTGTCTCTCTCTCCCCCTTCCACTCTCCCTGAAAAGCTGTGGAAAAGATATCCTCAAGTAAGGATTAAAAAAAAAAAGTAAACAGATATTTTTGTTATATTTGCTTCAGATTTTTTTCTGTTTCTCTTGAAAGAAGTAAAACATTTCAGATACGGCCAGTTTTCTTGCTCCCTCTGACCTGCAGGTAAATACTGCCCTGAAGTTGATGTATATCATTCTCATATATGCCGTTGTACCTTTAAGACAGAAGAGGTATTCATAAACAATGTGTGCTGTTATTTGTACGTTTTCATATTTGACACAAAGAGTATCTTCTACCTATCCTGCCTTCTTTAATCTAAACTTTTTTTTGAGGTTTATTCATGTCGACAAAGGAGGACCTGATTTGTTCATCTTAAGTAGTTTATTTGGACTGTAGTGTGAGTGAGCAGAGCCCCTGCAGCTATGCAACAGCTATTATTTGCAGTCTGTTATTTATGAAAAAGGTATTCATTACTGCATTTAACACCTATGTACATGTGTTCTTATGCATACAAGCAAGAGGGCATTTGGGGATAGATACCTGGACTATAATTGCTGGGTTGTACACCTTCCTTTATTTTACCAAATGACTCTCAGAAGCACTGTATGGCTTACAGTGTTGTGTTGGGTAACACCTACTACCATTCGACATATTTGTTGTGTGGACCCCTGCACTAGGATGCAAGCTTAATGACAGCAGGGATTTTGTCTCTTTTGTTGTTTTCTTTGACTGGCATAGAATAGGTACTCCATATGTGTTAAGTGAATGAGTATTTCATGAATTTGATCTCAAAGAGCGTGGTAGGGTAGACCAGAGAAATAGACTGATGTCTACTTTCCTGTGCCCACTTGTTGATGAGCGAGTAATCAAAGACCAGCTGATTTTTGGGAGGTTACACATCCAGATAAAGAGAAGTTCTTGAAATTCGTTTTCCAACTCTTAATTGTTTATTAAATACTAGTGTATATCTAGTACTCTGAAATTTAAAAACTTCAGGGAGTTCAGGTCAAGAGTGATCTTAGCTACTAGGTAGACTTGAGGTTTACGTTTTTGTGTAGTTTACAGTGCTTAACGCTTGGCCTGTGGATGAGGCACCGTTCATGTTTGTGGAATGAATGAGCGAGTTCTTTCACTCTGTAGTCTCACTATGGCTGTCTTTGTGGGAGACCTATGGAGAGTAAGTAAATAGTTAATGAGAAAAAGCCAAAGGAGAAGACAGGCAGAATAGTAGGCCCTAGAAGTGCTTTCCCAGAAGGCAGCAGTCTGCTTGTTAAGAGCTCAGGCTAAATGAGAAAAAGACCCAGGGGAAAGCCCTGGTGATCAGAGTTAACTTAGTTCAACAGTGGAAGCAGAGCTCCTGCAAAGAAAAAGAAGCACCCAAACTTTGGACCTTGGAACATACCTTTTTCCTTAGAGTGTAGTCAAGAAAAAGAGTATATTAGGGCCCTGGTGGTGGTGGTGGAGTGTCTCATATCTTTTAGCTATAGTTATAAATAGGAAGAAAAGGGATTTACTGTAAACCCGGCACTAAGCCAAGCACTTTATAGACATTATCTCAATCACCCTTTCTACAGCCCCATTAAGTAGGTGGTAGTATCCATATTTTACAGATAAGGAGACTGATCACCTAGCAAGTTAAGCTGCTTAACTGCTAAGTTAACAGAGCTGGGAATTTGAACCTAGGTCTACTTAACTAAAATATCTCTGCTCCTCCCTAGACCAGTTTATCTTTGGAGCAGAAGGAAATAAAGACCTGATTTTCCAACATAATGCAAAAGTTTAAAAAGAAAATGTTCCCCGAAGTAAATATGCTCAGTTCTGTCAGGCTTCTCTGAAAAACCTTACAGCAGCAGCAGTCATATTAAACAGCTGTCTCTCTCTGCCCTGAGTTGATCAGTTTCAGGAATTTGGTTTGCTTGTACTTCATGAATAAAATTCAAGCTTAGGCCTTAGGGTAGGCATCTTAAAAGTTCCAGTTCTCTTGACTGGAGGAATGAAGTCCTGGTGCTTGCCTAGAGAATTGTATAGGAATGTCAGATTTTTTGCTGAGTAAATGATTTCTGGTAGTCTGATTAAGTTTCTGTCCCAGGCTAATCCCCTTGTCTTGTTTCTTGCTGTGGCACATGATGGCCATAAGATGGTGCTGCAGCTTTGCTGTCGGCCTTAGGAACCGGCTGAGGGGAGAGACACCTGCTGCAGCTGTGAAGCAATGGGGAGCATCAGTAGGGTCTCAGAAGTGGTTGTGTGGGAGCTGTGGATTTAGGGCTTCTTGTTGCTGTCCTTTTGTGGACGGTGATTTTTAGGTTTCCAGGAAAGATGGTTAGGGCTGTACTGATACAGGTCTTTAGGGCTGACATAGCTTAAGCCAGGCAGCCTTCTTCTCTCTGCTTGTGGGCTGGGTCCTTTTGGCATAAACTAAATAGCTGCAGCCAGAAAGAAACGCATATAACTCCTTTCCTTCTGCTCCATTCAGAGCCCTTTGGGTTGTGGTGGTATCTCATGTGCCAGACACCATACTAAAAATTGGGGCGGGCAAATCCCATTGACATAACAGGGTGACTTTTGAATCCAACTTCTTAGCCCTGTTCTTCAGTCTTCGTGCCCTATTGCAAAGTAAAAACCATCCGGGCCCCATTTTAGCAACTCCCTTCCTTGCTCCCAAATAGCAAGTGTTATCTTTGTTCGAGCCCTTGGTCCAGGTGAGTCTAGTTGCCAATTCAAAACAATGGGGGATCTTCTTCTTTTACTTAACTGAGTACAGACTTCCATCCCTGCCACAGTTAGAAGCTCGTGTGACATGAGGTTGAAATTAAAAGCCTTAAATAGGAATTCATGTTCTGGCTTTGCCACTTACTAACTGTGTAGCCTTGAGCAAACCAATCAACTTTCTTAAACCTCTGTTTCTTTACCTGTCAAATGTAAAATAATAGTTTTGACCTGTTATGGTTACTGTGAGAATTAAATAAGATAATCCATAGCTTAGCACAGGGCTTAGCACAGAACAGACGCTAAAATAATGTTAGCTGTCAGCAGCACCAGGACTACCATTGTCACATATCCTTCAGCAGAGACGCTGCCTCTGGTATTTGGAAGTGGTGTCCTTTTTACCGGGAGTCCAGATCCTGTACTCGGAACTGATTTCTAGGCTTTTCCCATGTGTCAGCAGATTTAACAGGTATTTCTCTCTCTCTAAGGAGGGAAATAAATGCTACAAGATACCAGATCTTTAAAGCCTGTTTCTCTTCTTAACTCTGAGAATTAGGTTCTAGTCTCAGGTTATAATTTGATTAACGTAATTTTATTTCTGGCCTGAAAAAAATAGAGAATATATCTGCCTTGTTTGATATTTTCTTATGGATGTCTTGGTACAACAATTGAAATCTACTTCCTTTCAGAGTCTGGGGCCATAATTGCAGCATCCCCAGCCCTGGTTCCACTTGGCCCTTCCCTTCCTGGTTGGTTCCAGCAGCGCTGGTTTGCTTTTCCCCCTTTCTCCTCCCCCTGCCTCTACGTTACCTTCTCCCACGGCCTCTCCTCTTCCCCCCTCCCTTTTCCCTTTACTCTTACAATCTCCCCCTCCTCCTCTCCCTCCCTAATTTCTCCCCTCCTCTGTTTCCAGCTCCTTTTTGCTTTCTGTTTGTGTTTCTGAGGGCAGTGCTCCAATTACCTCATATTTGGAGAGAGGAAGCTGCAGCCAATCCGCTTTCTGTCTGCTTTTAGGTCAAGTGATTTCTGAACTGCAGTGAGATGCTTTGAATTTGTCTTGTTGCAGCTCCGAGCCTGTAAGATGGCTGTCTGAATCGGCAGCGGCTGGAAGAGACAGAGAGAGGCGGGAGGGAGGGAGAAAGAATTGGAGGGATTGCCGGCACAGTGCATGTTTTTAAATGTGCATCTAATCCGATGAAGCCAAGATTGGGATTTCTCTGGGATCGTAGGACCGGCTTAGCTGCGTTTTTGCTGAGATTAGGAGAGGAAAGCGATGGGAAATTCACTGGGCTGTGTTAAGGAGCCAAAAGATTCAGTAGCTATTCCTGAGAAGGCTCCTATATCTCCTAAGAAAAGGGTTCGGTTCAAAAGGAAGTGGAGGGGGAAGAAAACCCCTACTCCAGAGTTATCCCCTGAGGAAGAACCCTTGGAAGGAACTGGAGTCATTGAAGAGACAGAAACCCTAACGAAGTTTATAGTGAGTCTCCAAAAGGAGGAAGGAGTGGGAGAGGTAGAACATCCTCCCCCAGACATCCTGCTGCCTGAGGACTCGGCCCCCAGCTCAGGAGTGGGAGATGAAGGGATGGTTGTGCAGGTGAAGGAGAGATTCCAGGGGGAGATCCAGACTGCCCACCTCTTGCTAGAGAATGAGCCATCAGTTGCCGGAGGGGTCTGGGATTCCCTGGAAGAGGGGATGACTGTCATCGCTCACCTGCTTGATAACCCAGCGGAGAGGAGCTGTGAGAAGTCGGTGAGCCAGCGGGTGGAGTTTCCGAGGACAGCGTCCTGCAGCAGCAGGGCTGTGCTGCTGCCTTTGCCAGGAGAGCCTGCAGCGGAGAAAGCGGATGCTCAGCCTGGATGTCAGAGCAGCACTTTCTGCAGGACGGACTCCCCCAGCAACACTAACACAGGACATGGAGACCAACTTTCAGAGGGTTGGAGTGTGGGGGGAGGAACAAAGGGTATTTTAAGTGCCCCTGAGACAGGTTCCTGGATTACAGAGCATTCTATCCCTTCATCACTATCGGAGCAGTCGAGAGGCCACAGATGCACAGAACCTGTCCACATGGGTCGCGTGCTGCCCCATGGTCCCCAGCTGCCTGCTTCTCAGAGTGATTTGTCTGTCAGTGGCATGACTGTGAGCATGGTGCCCTCCTCCTCTGGCTATGGCAGCAGTGGGCTACATTCACGTGGGATCCGGCCTAAAGAGGCAGAACCCGAAAAGAGTTCCACGTCATTCTCAGAAGAGGATGGCACCCTTTCTTTGGAGCCAAGCCACACCCCATCATGGGGTCTGGAGGAGGTAGGTGGGCATGTCCAAGGGATATGCAAACAGCTGTTTGGATTCCTGGCCCTCAAACTTATTAAAGTGGAGTTTGGCGAGCAGTGAGGATCTTGGGGCTTTCTTCTCAAACTTGTCCCTATGTCTGGGAACTGGGAGTTAGTGACTGCTGGGCTTGGCAAACAGAATCTATTTCTGGTCTGCCCCTGGATGCTTGGAACCAAGTCTTGTCTCTGGGGAGTCCCTGATTTTGTGCAACTGTGCAGCATGATTGCTTGAGCTTTTGAGTGGGGTTATCTCTCAAGGTGCAGTGCTAGTTAGTACTTACTTTCAGGCAGGTGTGTTTATCAGCTTCCCTGCCACAAGGAGTCTGTGGTGTAGCACAAAGGATAAGGGAGGTCTGGCTAAGTCCCTGAAGTGAGTGGAGAAGGGGTGAGGAATGTTGAAGGACTGAGGAGCTATCTTCAGTGTAATTGCTCTTCTCCCCAGGAGAATGATGTTCTTACTAGAGCTGATGCAATCCCTCTCCTGGGAGACACAGCTAGTGACAACACTCAATATTTGTAGAGGTGGACAGGGCTAATCCTCCTTTGGTTCCTGAGTTTGCCATTAGAGAGGGACATGGGGTTATTTGGAGATTAATCCAGAGGAGGGGGTTAGGGCAGTTTGAAGGTTTGAGGACAGAAAAAGTTGGTTTTCTGATTGGATATATTTATAGCTCTGACACGTTTTTGTCTGTGAGGTATATATCCAGGCATAGGTGATGGGAGTAGTGATGGTGGTGGGTGCTGGGAATGTTTTTAGGGTCAAGCAGCAAATGGGAATTTAAGAGATCTGGATGCTGAGAAGGGAGGAGGATTTGGTAAGACGCTGGGTGGCACAGTGACTGAAGTTATTCACTAGTGACTGAAGAACTTTTGTTGGCATGTCAGCCTCTGCAGCAGAAGAAATAAACTCTTTGGGATCCCAGAGCAGCAAGGGGTGGAAGATGCGGTAGGGCTCTTTTCTTGCTGAGACCGAGGGCAGCTGCCTTGATGTCTGCAAAACAGGGATGTGGCCTATCTGCCGGTGCCCTGCTCCTCACCAGCAGCATGAGGCTGGGGAGAGACACGCGTTTTAAGCTGATGTGTTTACAATGTCCTCTTTGGGGATTAATTTCCTCCATAGATAGGCTCATCTCAGTTCCCTTTGTTATTACAGAGTTTGGAAACTCCCAACAGTTGGAGGGGAAAGTGACCATTGAAAAATATTCATTATATGGTTAGGCAAGAGGCCTCCTTGGGCTTTTCCATATAAAGTGTGTGTGTGTGTCTGTGTTTGTATCTGTGTGTGAGAGAGAGAGAGAGAAAGAAGGTGAGAAGGAAGGCAGCAAGGCTGCTAGGATGGGATGTACAAGTATTTTGAGTTTCATCGAAGAAGAGGGAATGTCAAAATCAGTTTTTATCTTTGTATGGAATGGATGTAGAATAGGGGATAAAACTAACTGCTGCACTGGTTGCTCTTTTGATACCACTGGCATTAAGTTGAGGTTGTGGAGGCATCATAATATTTTAGGGTTCATGCTCATGAGTGAGTGTGAGATTTTCAGAAAGTTTGGAGTGTAAAATTTTAAGGGACTCCTAGTGGAAATCAGTTCTAGATAATGTACTATAGGTGACCATGGTGCTTAGTATGGGATTTCCTCACTGGGAGGGAAGGTTTCTAACCACTCCATGAGAAGTCTTAAAGAAAAGACTGGTGGGAGAAACCTTTGGGTCATGATCAGTAGTTTGGCAGTATCGATAGTGGTGTGATTCTTTTGCTATTCAGTATGTGAGTCAAATTGGTATGTGGGATTTTCTGGGCAGCCAAGCTCTGCATCCCATCCCTCCTACCTGTTTAGATCAGACACAGTCAGATTACTCAGCTGTAAAACTCTGCCCAGTCTGAAAAACTACATGACTGTCAGTTTAGATGGCTGACACATTTCTGAGACTCTGTGTCCATTGTGTGATGTGGAGACCACAGACTGACCATTCCATATGACAGAGAAGATGTAACTTCTCAAGATAAATGTGAAATCCCTGCAGGATGTAAGTCCTCAGGCAGTAGGGGCCTGAGAGCCTCACTGGACTCTTAAGGAACCATCTTCAGGAGCTGCTCCATCACTAGCAGGCTGTGCATAAGGCCTGAGGACAGCAGAAGTCAGGGAGACACAGGCATTGTGTCTGACACTGCAGGTGTATGAAATGGAGTTGAGACTTGAGGTGAGAGCATCTGACTGGAGCCTGAGTTCCCTCTGCTGAGGGCGAGAATGCTGGGAGGACACGGGTCAGGGGAGCAACTGTGGCTAATCACACCAACTCCTTCCCGAAGAGGAGACAGCTGGCAGCTCAAGAGTGGATTTTATTTATTTATTTGTGTGTTTGTTTTTTTTTTAATATGTTAGAGTAGTAACCCTTCTCAGAAAATAATTCAGGTTCCACAGTGGTATCTGTCCTTGGCATAACTCACGTCGTGTGGTCTCTCTTGTTGATCAGTCCAGAGCATATCAGTGCTAATGGGACCAGGTTGTGGCTGGACATACACTTTGCAGTGGGTTTTCAGGAATAGAGAGAATGAAAACTTGTAATTCTTATGTGTGCAGGGTTTAGATAATAGAAGATAAATGGTCTGCTTCCTGTTCACCTGGTATAGTTGATTCTCCCCTTGTCAAGAAACAGCTAACACAGAAGCAGGATGGCAGGGGCCAGCTGACAGAAATGGTTTTTCGGAGTGACAAGTAGATGAGGATTTGGAGCTGGATGGGAGCAGGTTAACAGCGTTGTACTTTGATGTCAACCAAAGCCTTCTCTGGCCCATTCCTTCTCTCAAGAGGACTCCCTATTCCCAGCTGCCTTCAATGTTCACAATATCTGGCTTTTGGAACAAGGAAAATTGTTGGAAATCCCTTCCTCCTCCCTGTCTTGGCTCCCACTGCCAATTTCTTGCCCACACTTAGTGGATTCTATTGAATAAAGAATTTGGTTCTGTTCCAGTGTCCTTGCGACAGACCCAACAGTCCTTACAGTCTCTGGTGATAGATCTAACACTGGGAGCTAGTAATGCTGAGAAAGAGATCAGTTGGTATATTATTTTCTGGGCTTAGCCTTTCAATTTACAAGTATCCCTTTCCGATTTCTCCTCTTCAATTATAGGGAAAGTTGTTTTACTAATACTGGTTTTGTATTGTAAGAAAAGAGCAATGTTAACTAGATGATACTATTGTAGGAATGTAGCAGTTAAAATTACAGTTAGAGTTGATTTTTCCTTTTCAAAAAAATTTTACTCGCCCTAGCTAGTTTGGCTCAGTGGTTAGAGTGTCGGCCTGAGGATTAAAGGATCCTGGATTCAATTCCTGCCAAGGGCACATACCTCAGTTGTAGGCTTGATCCCCTGCCCCAGTTGGGGCATGTGTGGGAGGCAACCAATCCATGTGTCTTTATCACATGGATGTTTCTCTCTCTCTCCTCCTTCCATTCTCTCTGAAAAGTAATGGAAAAAATATCTTCAGGTGAGGATTAAAAAAAAAATTTTTACTTAATTAAAAACATTGCTAAGGAATCATAATTATTTTTAAGGTATAAAAATGGTGGTGTGATTATGTTTAAAAGAGTCCTTATCCTTTAGAGATACATACTGAAGTATTTATGGAAGAAATGATGTATGTGGAATTTGCTTCATAATAATAGGGGAGGGGTGTAGTGTAGATGAAACAAGATAAGTTATGAGTTGATAATGGTTGAAACTGGGTGATAGGTACATAGAAATTCACTATTCTATTCTGTCTCTTTTTGTATATATCTGAAATTTTTCATTTCAAATGGAAAGTTAAGAAAAAAATAATAAAATTAGTATATGATGCATATACAGAAAAAGGACTAATATCCAGACACAGGAAATGTAGTGTAGGAGTAGAGGCTGAGAGTGAGGAGCGAGATTGGCTGAGTTGGACTTTCTGCTCTATTACTCACTAGCAAATTACTTCTCTGTGGCATAATTTCTCCATTTGTAAAATGAGGATAAAAATAGTATATACTTTGTAGGGTTGCTGTGAAAATTATACAAGAAAATTAACACAAGTAAAACACAATAGATGTTATTATATCATTATTTAAGGAACCACTACAAATAAATGAGAAAAAGGTAAATGTTCTAGTAGAAAAATAGGGGAAAGCCCAGGAAAAAGCAGCTCTCAATAAAGGGAACCCAAATACCTCATACACATGTGCCTTCTCCCTAGTAATCAAAGACACAGGAATCAAAACAAGATATATTTCACACTCACCATATTGTCAGAAAATAAAAAATCTGGAAATACTTGGTGTAGGCGAGGATGTAACGTCATAGTGATAGAAAACCTCATCATACCTTTTGGGTGGAAGTACAAATTGCTACTATTATTTGGAGAGTAGCTTGATACTATTTAGTAGAATTGAAAAATACCCGTAGTCTGTGACCCGGGATTTCTGTTCTGGTTATGTTCCCTAGAGGCCTCCAAGATTCTGATTTGAATACTGACCCCTGACCTCTACCTAAGTCTGATGTTGGTAAAACACAGCTGTCATTAGAACCCTCTATCCGGGCATTTGTCATGAATAACTGCGCTGTACCCGTGTCTGCTCCTGAGTGAAAGTTTTTAAAGTCTGATGACGATGAGGTCGGCTAGAAACTTCAGGACATGAGAATGGAGTATCTGTTCATTACACCTAGTCTCATCCCCTGAGACTTATATAGATTTATACAACGTCCAAACTTCTCAGCCTGGTGTTCCAACCACACTCCACACCCCATCATCTACCTAATCTCTCCTATATCAGTTGTCAGTTGGAACCTTCTTATTTTAACAGCTCAACCCCTTAATCATCTACTTTTCCTGTTTCAACTTATTTCAACTTCCAATCTTTGCATCTGCTTTCTGCCTGGAATTTGTTTCCTCTTTCTCTTTGTCTACTCTATACTATCCTTAAGTATGACTTTAAATTATACTTCTTTAAGAAATATTTTTTATCACTGGAGCCCATACTAGTTTTTGTTCTGCTGAGATCCTCTTTTGGATATCATTATATACTATATTACTGTTGATCTTTTGGGGCCTTAAGTTATGTGTAACCCTTTCATGTGATCTACCACATATGACTAAATATATAGTAAGACCCCCACACAACAGAAATTAGCCTTCAGAGAAAAAGGATTCTATTTGTATTTGACTTTATAAAGTCTTTGTTATTGGCCTCTCAGTGAAGTTATAGTCGTTTCATGAAAAAGGATGAATGAATTTGGGTCACCATCTGCTAGTTCAATTTGTATCAATTTTTTTGTAGAGATAATTGGTTAAACAAAAAAGAGACCAAAAATCTAAGAAAGTTTTAGTTATTGTTCTTGGGAATTTAACCTCCTAATTTGACATATGGAATGTAATTGCATATAAGTAGTAATCATATTAAAAACTTAAAAAATCACATCACTTATCAAACACACACAGACAGCAAGTGGTCACATTATGGAAATCATAAATGGACTCTAATAGAATGAATGAGAAACAAAACTAATCCAGTGTTATGCAACTGGATTCTCGTGGCTGGGAGTGAAATTTCCAGTGACTGCACGATTCAGAAGAGTGCTATTGTATCTCAGAAATCTTAAAAATAAATGTAGAGGCCATTTACTAGAATATTCACTCAAATAGTAGCTTTATTTTTTAAAGTAGCTTTATTGATGAAAAAGACATTGATGTCAAAGATGTAGAGTTTGAATAACATGGTTTTGTGAAATGTAAAAG